GGGGGCGCCAGGGGCCGGTGCTGCCCCAGGGGGGACGGGAAGGAGGCGCGCGGGGCCGAGGAGGCTCCGAGGCTCGGAAGGTGGAGGTCCCCGGCCGCGCTGCCCCGTGGGGAGGGCGGGAAGGCCCTTCCTTCATTCACAGCGTCCTCACTCCCCCCGCGGTGCTGGCAGGTGTTGCAGGAACGAGTGCTCAGTCTTGAGATTCCTGCATGCCCCCCGGGGGTGCCTCCCGAGGGCGGTGCTGCCTGGCGCATCCGAGGTCCTTTTCTCCGCCTCCTTAACTGCCTGGTGCCACCCATTTACTCTTGAGGCCTTTTGCAGGGACTCCTCGCGGCTTGCTCTTCGGCAAGATGTTGGGGTTTCTGCAGCGCCCCGTAGTGGTGACCGCGGATGTCAACTTGAACGTCGTGGCTCTGACGGCGGTGGGGCTGCTGAGCCGGCTGTGGCGCCTCGCCTACCCCCGGGCTGTGGTGTAAGCCAAACTGCCTGTTAAACAGCATGAACGGGAGAGGGAAATGCCTGGGTTCGGGGCAGTTAGAGAGGCTGGTTTGTCCCAGGAAACCCCCGCAGAGCCCACGTGCCCAGTCCTGCCCTTGGGCCGGGGCAGGCGCAGCAGCCTCAGGGCCGCAGCCTCAGGACCATTTGAGACCCGGGGGTTGGCGGGCAGAAGGCTGAGGAATATGGAAGTGAGTCCTCGCTGACCTTAGAGGTGTTCTCTGTTATAATGGGAAACGACCCCTTTTATTAGTGAAGGGCTCTTTATTATCTGATACCTGTGTTCCTCTTTGTTTAAGTTTTTATTATGGAAAGCATCAAACATACACAAATACGGGGAAAATAGTATGATGACCCCCTCACCCGGGATTCATCACCCAGCTTCTACGGTTATCAACTCACGGGTGGGGGCCAGCCGCCGGCCCCAATCGGCCAATCGGGCTGGGCTGGCTGGGGGAGGGGACTCAGGAGATTGGCCAGCCAACCCGCCCGCTGGTTGAACTCCAGGTGGAGAGGACAATTTGCATATTAGCCTTTTATTATATAGGATAGCCACCCCCTCCCTGCAGTGGATTTTTGGAAGCAAGTCATAGACATATTTAGTTCGTAAGTAATTCAGTGTACTAGTGTCTCTTAAAGACCCGGATTCTTAATAAAACACAAGACCACAGTAGCATCATCACACCTCAAAAAATGCAGGGCGATTCTTTCGTGTCTTCACCTGAAAGCGTTTTGTCACAGTGGGTTCCTGCATGGAGCTGGTGGACAAGGGGGTTGGCCTCGCGTCTGGGAGGCCTTGCAGGGGCCGGCTAACGGCACACCCCTAAGTCCAGAGCGAGGGAGACACACAGAGCCTGTGTTTCGGGGAAGGCTGTGTACACATGTCTTCACACCTGGGGACCCGACGTGGTTGGGGCGGAGATCGGACCCTTGCCGATCGCGCCCTGAGCCGTTTGGAAACACAGGAGTACATTTATGCTGGTGCCTTCCTGCAGCTCAGATTCACAGTGAAATGCTATGTGGGTTTGTTTTCCAGTTTCGATGAAGTCTATTACGGGCAGTACATCTCTTTTTACATGAAGCGGGTCTTCTTTTTGGATGGCAGTGGACCGCCCTTTGGCCACATGCTGCTGGCCTTGGGAGGTAGGAACCTTCAGGAGTTATAGGAGGGCCCGGCCGGCGTGGCTCAGGGGTTGAGCATGGACCTGGGAGCCAGGAGGTCACAGTTCGATTCGCAGTCAGGGCACATGCCCGGGTTGCGGGCTTAATCCCCGGTGGGGGGTGTGCAGGAGGCAGCCGATCAATGAGTCTCTCGTCATTGACATTTCTATCTCTCGCTCCTCCCTTTCTTTCTGAAATCAATAAAAAAATATATGTATTTTTTTTTTCAAATTTTATTTTTTATTACAAAGGGTATTACATATGTGAATATATGTATTTTTAAACTTATACACGAACTTTCTTGAGGGAAGTGGTCATGTCTTATTATTTATTTACTGTTGTTTGCTGTTGGCCGCCACTGTTCGGCACTCCTGAAACATTGCTGAACGGATCGTCGCTGATCAATCCTGTTTTAGGTTATTTGGGAGGATTCGACGGCAACTTTTTGTGGAACAGAATTGGAGCAGGTACATCTCATTTTCACTGCCCTTGCTAATTTGCATGTATTAGAATGGGGAGCTAGTGGCCTTCATAGGAATGAACAACTGGTTTGTTAATGTGAGTCCAGGGTGTGATCGATTGGGTACACGTGACAGACTTTCGAAAAACCTGGTAAACATCTTAGTGTTTAGTGACAATGATCCCTCTATGTCTCTCTTGGATGTACAAATCGTGTGTGTTGCCACAGCGACGTAGAAGGGAGGTGGGGGCGGGGTAAAGCACGAACTCATTTCAGATCCTTAGTCTTGTTCCTGTGTGCTGTTGACTAGCGAGCACATCTCAAAGGCGTGCTCACACTCCAGTTCCCGATGAGGCCCTGTGCCATGAATGCTCGTACTGAGTCTGTGAGTGTGAAACTCTGTTTGCAAACACGGTGCGCTCAGCTCCGCTCTGGTTGCGTTCCAGAATACAGCAGCAACGTGCCTGTGTGGTCCCTGCGCCTGCTGCCGGCCCTCGCGGGGGCCCTGTCGGTGCCGATGGCCTACCAGATCCTGTGGGAGCTCCGTTTTTCTCACTGCGCCGCCATGGGAGCCGCCCTGCTGATGCTCATCGGTAAGGCCTGGGCCTCGGCGGCTCTGGTTGGTGCAGGAGGAGCCACGGGCGGGCCTTGGCTACGCTTCAGTGTGGCCCAGGAGAGCTCGGAGTTTAGTAGACGTGCCCCCTCAGCTGCTTCTGCTCCTAGGATGGAAGGAAGCTCAGGCAGTTGGTCCACATCTGACTCGGGGTCACCCCGCTCTCAGGCTGGGGGTCACCCCGCTCTCAGGCTGGGGGTCACCCCGCTCTCAGGCTGGGGGCTGTGGAGGTGGGTGGCCAGACTTCACGTTGTGGGGGTGGGGCCATATGACTTGGGGCTGTGCAGACAGGTGCCCGGGTAACGGTGAACACCTCCACCTGCACCCACGTCTGCCACTCCCTGATGGCCTGCCGGGTTCCACCCCACCCCCTGGCCATGGCAGAGGAGCTAGTGGGTATTCCTCAGACAGGGCCTTCCAGCCCAGGTCTCCCAACAAATGGAGTGAACTCACATGCAAAGTAAGACCATCTGCAGAGAAAATGGAGGCCCTTTGCCAACATCAGGCCATAGCACGCACGGTGCCCACAGAGCTGGTATTGCTTCTGCAAATGAGAAAACGACAGACAGAGAAGCTCCGTGACTTGCCCAAGGTCACACGGTCTCAGTGGGTGTGACTCCCCCTAAGAACTTGCCCTCGTGGTTGTGGAGACACCCCAATGCTGAACGGGACGTCCCACCATCCGCTCTGAGCGACTGGGAGCGTTTGCTTTGTGGGTGTTTGATCTTCACGCCTTTGCTTCCTTCCAACACACACTGCTCCTCCCAACAGAGAATGCGCTGATCACGCAGGCCAGGCTGATGCTTTTGGAATCGCTGTTAATATTTTTTAATCTACTGGCCGTGCTGTCCTACCTGAAGTTCTCCAACTGCCAGAAGCACAGGTACGGCCCGGGGACCTGTCCTAATTAACGAGAAGGAAGAGTCTGGGCGGCCTGGCGACCCAGAGGGTGCTGAGTCGTCCAGGAGCGCCCGCTGGCTGTCTTGCAGCCACTCAGACCGGCCCTCAGCTCATGGCTTCATAAATGCAACCTCGTTTTCCTGTAACTTAAACTAACTGGAGAAACGACCTGGCCAAAAAGAGAACTCGTGGGCCGATGATGGGGAGGAGGGGTCCATTTTCCGAGTCTCTGAAGCTCGGTCCCGGCAGCCACCTTAGGGATCTCGGGGACCTGCTCGCAGCTCTACCTCCGTCCTGCCCGCAGGCCCTTCTCCCCGAGCTGGTGGCTGTGGCTGGTGCTGACCGGAGTGGCCTGCTCCTGCGCCGTCGGGTGAGTCCGGCCAGTCTGAGCGGCGCCTGCGCCCTCCTCGTCTGTCATTTTAACTCCCCTCCATCGGTCTTTTCAGCATCAAGTACATGGGCATTTTCACTTACTTGCTGGTGCTCGGAGTCGCCGCCGTCCACACCTGGCACCTGATCGGAGACCAGGCTCTGTCAAACGTAGGGGAGCCTGCCGCAGGGGCGCGCGGGGGGGACGGCGCCGGGGGGCGCAGTGGGAGCCTGCGTGCGAGGGGTGCCCCCCGTGTGCCCAGGTCTGTGTGCTGTGCCACGTGCTGGCCCGCGCAGTGGCTCTGGTGGTCGTCCCGGCCGTCACGTACCTGCTGTTCTTCTACGTCCACTTGACGCTGCTCTGCCGCTCCGGGCCCCACGACCAGATCATGTCCAGCGCGTTCCAGGCCAGCCTGGAGGTGAGAAGAGACCATGGGAGACTCGGTTTCTTACATAAACACTGTCGGGTGAGCCTCAGAGGGAGAGCCAGAGCAAGAAGGAAGCCTGCGCCGCGGGACTGTAAACTGGTCTGCGTCCCGAGGGTGCAGACATGAGGGGAGGGGTAGCTCCGTCGGTGTGACGCAGAGTGGCCCCGAGACCCCTGCGAGGGTCCAGGGGCCGCATGACCCTCAGAGGACAGACAACTCGGCCTCATTCACACGAACTTTGCCGAAACAGTCAAATGCACCAGTTGAGGTGGTTGGAATTGTGGCCTGAAGTCACACCGACTTGTTCGGAAATGCTGGCGAGCTGCTTTCTCACCTCGTAAATGGACACAAGCCCTGCCTCTGAGGCAGCATGCCATCAGTGGTTCTGATCAGTGTAACACGACAGAGCTGTGTCTTATCTATACTAATAAAAGGGTAATGTGCTAATTAGACCGGACATCTTCCAGACATCTGGACAAAGCCACAGTCGCGCAGACTGAGGCAGAAGAGGTTAGAGGCGACCAGGCCGGCAGGGAGGGCAGTTAGTGGTGACCAGGCCGGCAGGGAGGGCAGTTAGGGGCGATCAGGCAGGCAGGCAGAGTGGTTAGGGGTGATCAGGCAGGCAGGCAGAGTGGTTAGGGGCGATCAGGCAGGCAGAGTGGTTAGGGGCGTCAGGCAGTCAGGTGAGTGGTTGAGCCAGCAGTCCTGGATTGCAAGAGGGATGTCCGACTGCCGGTAGTCAGACATCCCCCGAGGGGTTCTGGATTGGAGAGGGTGCAGGCCAGGCTGAGGGACCCCTCCTCCCATGCACAAATTTCATGCACCGGGCCTCTAGTGTAATTATAATTGCCAGCACCCTGAATATGCTCCCAGGTGGGGGAGGGCTGTGCAGGGGAACCCTGACTCTCACTTGCCCCTTTTGGCCTTTGTAGGGGGGGCTGGCTCGGATCACGCAAGGCCAGCCCCTGGAGGTGGCCTACGGCTCACAGGTCACCCTGAAGAGCGCCTCGGGCAAGCCTGTGCCCTGCTGGCTCCACTCCCACCCGAGCACCTACCCGCTGAGGTAAGAAAAGTGCTATTTTATTGGAAGTTATAAAATGTTTGTCGTATATTTTCTGTTACCAACTTTCACATTATGTGAAGAGGGTCGGGGAGACAGGGAATTGAACTCTTAGGTCTGATTGTCAGAGTCTTGTTATCTCTGCGTGTAAACCAGTGAGAGGGCTCGCTGGGCAGAGGGCCCGGCACACCCCACACTGGTCGTGTTCTGCCCACGTAAGGTCCAGTGTTCTGGCCCCTCTTAGATTTAAACTGTTTTATCCTTATTTTCCCCTAAACACCATGCTGAGTAGTTTACGGAGCCCCCTGCAGACCCAGTCTTTGTTGACCCTCCCATGCAGCTATGAGAATGGCCGGGGCAGCTCCCACCAGCAGCAGGTGACCTGTTACCCCTTCAAAGATGTCAACAACTGGTGGATTGTCAAGGACCCCGGGAGGTGCGTACAGGTCCTGGGCCTTCAGGCCTGACCGCACGGTGGCCAGTGGGGCCTACACCATCCACTCCTGCTCCTCCTGCCCATGCTCACCCACTCACCTGCTCCCACTCCTCCTGCCCGCCCTCCCCACTCACCTGCTCCAGCTCCTGCCTGCCCTCCCCATTCACCTGTTCTAGCTCCTCCTGCCCGCCCTCCCCACTCACCTGTTCTAGCTCCTCCTGCCCACCCTCACCACTCACCTGCCCCTGCATGTCGAGGCCAGTGGGGCCCTGCATCCCTTCCCCCAAGCGGGCACTGAGCAGGTCTGTGTGAGAGAGGGATCTCTGAGTGGGCCCCGCGGTGTTTGTAGGTAGCACAGAGCAGCCCAAGTGTGCAGGTGGCAGATGGGACCATGTTTGGAAGCTTGGAAAGTTGGCCATAGGTTTCAGAAATGAGTTCAGTGACATGGCTGTTGACACGAACTCACCTCGTACAAGGGACAAACTGGTTGGGCGGCTGCACATTCCCAATTGTCCCCCTGGGAGCACCCAGAGCCTCGACACCACCAGGTGACGTGCGGCTCCTGTCTTCCCAGGCACCAGCTGGAGGTGAGCAACCCGCCGAGGCCCGTGCGGCACGGGGACGTGGTGCAGCTGGTGCACGGCATGACCAGCCGCCTCCTCAACACGTGAGTCCACACCGCCCCCCCTCCTCCCAGTTCCCAGCTGTGCTCACCTGCGCTCCCTGCGGAAGGGGACCCAGGGACGGCAGCTGAGGGGAGCAGAGGGAGGGAGATGGCTTTAGTGAGGGGCCAGGTGAGGGGAGAGCAGCCAGGCTCGCGTGCTCAGGGTGCAGTGGGGCTCCTCCATCGGTGGTGTCCCCGCTGTCAGTGAGCCCAGCAGGACTGGGACTGGGGTTCAGTGGGGCAGGAGGGGGGGCATATTGGCTCTCAGCCTCTGAGCAGCCCCTGTGTTTTGGGGCTGCCCGCCCCTCACTACTACACCACCCAGCGTCCCCGGGCACTCGCCACACTTTCCGTCACGTGATCTGGCATCCTTGGGTCAGAGCGACTACAGGACCGCTGCCCCTTAGGCTGAGCTGGCTGTTTCTGAAAAGCGGCTTTTCCCCTTAAAGAAACAGCTGAGGAATTCCCGTGAGCATTGTTTGGTGTTGCAGGCACGACGTGGCAGCCCCCCTGAACCCCCATGCGCAGGAGGTGTCCTGCTACATCGACTACAACATCTCCATGCCCGCCCAGAGCCTCTGGAGGCTGGTGAGTCGCGGACACTGCGGGGACGGGGAGTGACCACCATCAGCACACGCACCTTCTAACAGGATGTGGGAAACCGCCGTTTAGCATGATCCAGGTTCAGGGGTAACCTGGGAAGGGATACGGTCATCAGAGTTCGTGGCTGTTTTCACAGGGAGTAGAGACTTCCACAGACCATGGATCTGGGGGCGCTGGTATCAGACAAATGGTTTACAGACAGTTGGTAAATGCTCGCTGCTGGGCTCTGCGGTTCTGCCAGGAGGAGGTGCCTCTGGCTTGGTCACTTAGCGTCAAGACCAGGTCACTGAACCCGGGGTCGGGCTCCAGCACCCTCCGTCACCCAGGAGCCTTGGTCGGCCTGGCCTGACAGGAACACCTGCCCTGTCGCAGGCTCCCCTGGGAGAGGCCTGGCCCTCGGGTGAGTCCTGGGGCTGCCAGGGCAGGTGGATAGTGGCCGCCTTCCTCCGAGCGACCAGGGCAACATGGCCCTTTATACAACGAGTCTCGCTCTCCAGGATGCAGGCGGTGTCCTAGGAAAGGTGGCGGGGAACGTCCTGGTGTCCTGAACATTGGCTGTCTGAGTTCAAGGGCGTGAGTTGAGTAATGGCCCGGGGATCGCCTCCCCGAGGCTCCTGCAGTGGCAGCTCCCACTCAGCCCCGTGTGTTCAGTGTGTGAGCTGCATGTCCAGCGTGCTGAGTGTGGCTGGTGGCCCTCAGCAAGGCGGGGGCTGCTTTTCCATGTCTGTGCCCAGCAGCACCTCTCCTCCCCCTTCACATGCGACAGACGTCCACGTGCTGTGATGTTGTCATGCACCGGCTTTGCCCGCCTCTCCCCTAGCCTCCCGCCTCCACGGGAGGAGTTGTGCCTGTTCCGTGACATCGGGAGCTGCCCCAAGAGTCCCAGGCCCTCCCGCTGCTGGCTTGTTGTGGGGGTTTCCTCGCTGATCCCTCTCCTCCTCCTCAGTCCCTGCTGGTGGCCCCGTCAGCCCCACTCGGAGCAGGGGAGGCAGGCTGACCGCAGTGCAGCCCCTACACTACCTCACAGCACCCTCGCGAGGCCACAACAATGCCAAGTGCTCCTCAGATGTCAGTTGTTTATTACCCGATGTCAGGAGTCCCCTGGGACAGCTTTCAGGGACGGTCTCTAACCTTCATTGCTCCATCTTTGCATCTGGGCCGAGCTCTAAGCCCTGTGAGTGAGCAGGCGTCCCAGAAGTGCAGGTCTTTGGTCTCTGCTTGAAGGCTGAGCTGCTGCTGCAGGAGGCACTGTGCCCCCAGGCTCAGCCCGCTACCCCCCAGGATCAGACCACTGGCCCCCCGGGATCAGCCCGCTACCCCCCAGGATCAGCCCGCTGGCCGCCCAGGAGCAGCCCCCTACCCCCAGGCTCAGCCCGCTACCCCCCAGGATCAGACCACTGGCCCCCCGGGATCAGCCCGCTACCCCCCAGGATCAGCCCGCTGGCCCAGACCACTGGCCCCCCAGGATCAGCCCGCTGGCCCCCCCAGGATCAGCCCGCTGGCCCCCCAGGATCAGCCCGCTGGCCCCCCAGGATCAGCCATCAGTTTCAGCGTGTGACTGGCCTCACCTTCCTGTTGAAGGAAGCCGGAGAGGGATATGTAACGGGCAGATCTGCTCTTACAGGACATCGTGAACAGAGAGTCGGACGCCGAGATTTGGAAGACCATCCTGTCGGAGGTGCGCCTCGTGCACCTGAACACATCCGCCATCCTGAAGGTAAGGGCTGCTGCCTGACCCAGAGCCTGCATCTCGGCCCACAATCTGTGCACGGCTCCCGGCCGAGCCTGCCCTTCCCCGGACTTTTGTGCCAAGTGGATGCTGTGTTTCCACTGAAGGTGGGGGGCCTTTCTAAGTCCTCAGAACTGAGCCTTGACATGAGGACCTCCCGGAGCCCTGGCTGGGATGAGCCAGGGCCTGGCTTGCCCCTCAAGCCTTCTTGTCCCACCTTCCAGCTGAGCGGGGCCCACCTCCCCGACTGGGGCTTCCGGCAGCTGGAGGTGGTCGGGGAGAAGCTGTCCCGGGGCCACCACGAGAGCGCCGTGTGGACCGTGGAGGAGCACCGCTACGGCAGGAGTGAGTCGCTGACCCACGGGCCCTGGGAGAGGCGCACAGCTCCCACGCTGTCGCACACCACACGCCCCTCCCGTGCCCGCTGAAGCTGCCAACAGCCAGGGGGTTACCCTGCGGCCGACGGGCAGTGTGAGCCGAGCTCTCACGGGTCCAAAGACCCTAATTTGCCTGTAGTTTCTCGGGGAAACAGAATGGGATGCCGCCAGTCACCGTGGGGTTTGGAAGGCAGGGAAGCCGCTTGCGCCGAGCCCACAGCTGTGCCCAGCTCCTGACCCTAATCTGCTCCTGTTCTTTCGGGCCTGGTGTGCCCGCCAGGCCAGGAGCAGAAGGAGAGGGATGGAGCTGC